CCCCCCCCCCCCCCCAGGGTTGAGTTTTATTCTTGATCCCCCTACAGTCAAGTAAAAACTTCAGGTTTTCAATAACTGGAAAATTTCTTAGTCGGAAAATGAAACTTGAAATGACAGAAATAGCCCAATTTATTGATCAGATTTAAGGATTTGTCTGAGCCCAACATGATGTTTTTACTTCCAAAACCAAAAACTGTAGATTTATCAGTAACAGTTAAGTAAGATCAGATTAAAAACAGCTTGTAAAAAAGTTAAGAACCAAAAATCCTCCTAAAATGTCAAACAAATGAGTTGATTCTAAAATAATCTCGTAGAGTGTTTGTGGGATTAGGTTTCTCCATTTTCTTCCTCACTATGTGAGTTATAGAAACTTCATTCTTTAATTGAGTTGTGCAGTTTTGCAGTTTGTTGTTAAAACCTTTGGCACCGTGGAGGATTTAAATAATGACGATGATGAAGATAGAGTGTTGATGACAAAAATAAAATTAAATTAAAATTAAAATTAAAAATCACACTAAGGTTAAAACAAGTGATGATTTTAGCGCCGCAGACTCAGTTAAAGTGATTTAATCATGCCAACAAACGTTCTGCATAAAGCAGTAGCTGAAAAAAGAGGAACCAACACATGTTGGATTATTCTTTCGACCAGTTTCTCAGAGTGCTGGTCCTCTTGCGCGTGCAGTGGTGCCTCTTGTCTTTGCAGCGCATTTTGGGGACAATTTAAGGCCAGAAAGGCTGTAGGAGGGCGGCAGCTCCGGGTTTGCAGGCCTCCTGCGCGCGGCCTCTAATGACGCGAACTCTGGATGTGAAGAGGTTTTTGCAGTCTGGTTTCTCTGCGCTCTGGATCAGGACCCGAGCCTCTTGAATAAAACCGTCTCAACTGACAGTCCGACGGCAGGAGGGACTGCTGACGTCACCATAGTGTGGGGAGACGTGGATCGGAGTCTTTGGAGGTGCAGGCTTCAGTGAGCCAATAAATCCGAGCAGGGACTGTGTTTGCAGCTAACGTTGTTATTTATGAAGAATAAAAGTCAGCTGTGCTGCTCGTGAGGGTTAACGCTGTTATTTATGAGGAGCGCAGCTCCGATTATTATAAGAATAATGAAAGTATGCATCTGGAATGGAAATCGATTGAGCAGGTTTATTTGTGAATACCTGAAACGGCCTCACATCACTTATCTGACACGGAGGACTTAAGGATTTTTTTTCTTCTTCTTCAAGAATATGTCGCACGCATTTGACTCAACAAGCAGCAAGGTTAAAATGTTCCTGCAGCTTCAGACTCAGGCAAGAACGACTCATTGCTGCTTTAAGTTCACCGATGTATAACCCGAGCACTGAGCTCACTTGTTTACGGATGATCTGCGCGCGACACTCGTGGATGCTCAGGATAGTTTTCAGTCCTCTTCTCAGACCACAGGCTGCGGGAATTTTTTCCTTTTCGCATGCAGGGCCTCCACCCTGTGGGCTCACATAACAAGACAGAGAGTTAATTGGGAACACTGGTCTCCAAAAGCTTGAAAACATTATCTGCAAACCGCTCAGCGCTTCTCTGCAGGGTGTTGCACAACACGCATATTTTCACAGTTAGTCAATGTGAGAACACTTAGAGCTAAAAAAGATTTAAAACGGATTTGGACGAGACTTTGAAAAGCTTGTTCTAGAAGTGACTCAAAAATAAAATGCTTTATTCTGCTGACAATTAATACATTTTATAATTGTATTTGCCCGCCAGTGTTTTTTAAAACACTTGGAAAATATAATTTTAATAAACCATTTTAACTATAAATCTGCAGGTGAGAAAACATAAACATTTAAATAAAAAGCCCATTTAAGTTTTATTAAAATATGAATTACTATAATAGCATTTTTTTAGCCTATTAAATTATTATATTAGTTCCTCTGAAGAACAACCATAAACCGACTAGTCTTTGTAATAAAAAGACCTCGTGCTCGTGATAAGATTTCAGACTCAATGAGTCTGTTTTAGTGCTGTACAACAAGGCCTGAGTGATGAAAATGTTTTATAAATGCTGAAATGAGTCGGCAAGGGAAAAACCTAGTCACGTGGCCCAAAAATACGCACGAAAAGCCCCCAGTCCCGATTGTTTTTGCTGTTGTTTTTTTTAATGGAGAAGAACTATTTTATTAAAGGGCTAAAATGATCCATGCTGCCTTTCACGTTATCAAAGGAAGGCAGCAAAGGCGCGTGTCATGAGTTGTTTTAATAAATATAACAATCAGGCCTGTAATCATTTTTTTGTGAGTGCGTGCGTGCATGTGTGCGTGCGCTTGTACATCATGCACTTTGTCTGCTAGAGAGCCATAACAAATGTTTTGCTCAATTCCTACGCGGATGAAAAGATGAGTTTCCCACCAGTTTTGAGGCGAGATGGGACCAGAAAGCCGCGGTTCGTCTCCCAAACAAAACGACAAAAAGAACTCACATCTTAGAACCAAATATTTATAGTATTTTTTATTTATTTATTAAAGACAAAGATCATAAAATCATTTCATACTAATTATAAATATACTGTCAGTCAAATGATTAAAATTTCCATTCAAATATTCTAATAAAAATTAAATAACTAGCAACTCTCATATTTTATTCAACTGATCAGCGTTATTTATGTAGCACTTTTCAAACACAAATTGAAGTGAAAATGCTTAATATCAAACCTAGAAAAACTCAAATATAAAACCAATTAAACATCATACAAATGCAAAACATACAACGAAATAAAAACAATACAAATAACATCAATAAAAGTAAAACAGAGTGAAACAGTAACACAAAGAGACATTGAATGGAAAAATAGGTCATTAAAAAAACTGTCAAGTCAAAACATTTTAATTTGGTTTGAAAGGTGAAGATATCTGTGCTGTTTATTTCAGAGACACTAACATTTCTCCATTTAGAGACTCTTGGAACAACTAAATGATTAAATATTGAGCGCCACACTCGTCTATAGCTGCTGGAACTAATGTTCTGTCAAATGGACTGTATTTATATAGTTCCTTTCTATCTTATAGAGATACTCAAAGCTCTTTACACTACAATCTGTGTCTCATTCATCCATTCATAGAGCACTCTACTAGATCTCTACAAAGCTGAACAAATCATTTTAAAGAGACTGATCAGTTCTTTATCACATTCATACACCAACAGGACACACATCGGAGGCAACGAGGGGTTCATTGTCTTGCCCAAGGACACTTCAGCATGTGGCTGCTGGTGGATTCGAACCCCCAACTCTTGCATTGGAGGACGACTGCTCTAACCAGTCAGCTACAGCTGCCAAATGTCAAAAGCAAACACATTTTTTTGTTTTTCTCTTTGATACAACTGGGGGTGCTTGGCATCGCGCCCCTATCACGCGGCCCCCTGGTGGGGTGTGCCCTTGCCTGCCGGCGCACTTGGGGCCCTTGGTGTCGGGGGCTGGGCGCTTGGGCGTGTGTCGGCTCGGCCTGGTGTCTGCCTGGTGGGGCTCGGGTCCTCTGGCCCTGTCGGGCCTTGGCCTGGGTGGTGTGAGTCCTCGGTGCCCGGGCCTCGGTGCCCGGACCTGGACCTACATCGGTGCGGCGGGTTCCGGGCCTATGAGTTTGTCGCTGTTGGCCCCGGGGGGTCACTGTATGTGGTCGCTGGTGGGGATCTTCCGGTTCTCCCCTGTGGTCCGTTCTGGGGGGTGGGTGAGTGGTTCGTCCTGTGTGGGTGGCCCTGGGGGCTCCGCAGTCGGGGTCCCTCCTGGGGTCTTGGGTTCTGGTCCCCCCTTTTTCGTCTGCCTCTGGTCTTGGGAGTCGGGTCTCTGCTGCTTCACAGTTACTATTAAATGTTCTAGAGAAGCCTTATACACTTATGCATGCTCACAACCACACACAAATAGAAGCAGGGATGCTTATGTAGGCTTTATATGTAGATATATAGATATGTATATGAATGTATATTCATGTGTATGTATGTATGTATGTATGTATATAGGCGTAGGTATGGGTATATATATTTATGGAAACTTACTGCAAAGCCATGAATATTTTAAGTTCTTTATACATATGTATTTTGTTGCTGTGTTTTGTCATGTTCTTTGCAGGTGAACAGACTCTCTTTGTGTATATTTCTTATATTTTGGAGTCTTACTTTGTCTTTTCTTTCTTTCTATCCTATTAAAAAAAAAAAAAAAAAAAAAGCCTACACTAGATAGTCACTAGAATAAATATTTCATAATAATGGTGTGGAGAGGACGGCTGTAAGGGGAGAAGG